ATCAAATTTTCCCACGTTATTTTCGTCCATAAAGAGTCACCGTTCACCGACATCCGGATGCGGAGAGTGCTACACCTATAGCCTCGTTTCGCTGAACAGTACTCAAGGAGATTAGAGTAACTTGATTAGTTACCCGGAGTAACCCTCCCCACTCAAGTAAAGACTGCCGACGCCGACGCGTGTCGCACCCATCTCTCCGAGGGAATTAAACAAAAACAAATAAAATAAAAAAGGGAAAAGAAAAGGAGGCCAGAAAAAGCATGGGAATAAACGACCCGATTCCCTAGGTTCTTTCCCCCACGTACTATTTTTTTTTTCTGTTTTTGTTTGGATGGTGCTGATGATGATGTTACTGGTCCCCCCGACGGCATGAAGCGAACTGCAAATGTAATTGTGTTGTAATGGCAATTTGGATGGTCGGGGAGAGAGGAAAAAAATTGGAAAAAGGGAGAAGGGAGGAATCCATCTTTGAATGGTGCCGGTGTATACCTACCTACACGCGTTTGGAGATTTGAATGGTGGGGATTGAATGAAGCTCACCCCCCTCCCCCCTTCATGTTTTTATGGACGGTGTAGGAGAGTAGGGCTGAGCTGTTTAGATGTTTAGTGTGTCTTGGGTGGCCGATTGGGGATGGTTGTTTTTGTGCTGGAACTGTTTTGTTTCGTTTGCGTATGTCTGGAGCTAGGAATATTTGGGAATTGACCAATTCGGTAGGTGGACTATATGCTTATGAGTTCGGAGTTTCCCGTAAGACCTTGGAAATAAAAAGATACGTTGGAATCGCTTTTCATTCATTTTTACAGGTTTCTAGATATCATGCACTCTGCGGTCGACAAGGAAGAAAAAACAAGCAGGAAACAAAAATTAAACGCTATTAAGGAATATTACTAAAAACTCGAATGAACATTATCTGCTTGAGATTTTCAAAATACCCTTTTTTATAATCTGCGGATAGATAATTTGAGTTTTTTTTTATTGTTTCATCTTCCCATATTATACGAGTAGCGTTTTCTTGCGGAAATATAACCTCAAAAAGCGATCCGTTCTTTTCGGTATTACTGACAAAATATCCAAACGAATTAGCAGAAAATCAACGAATTACTTAATCAGAAGGGTGCGGTTGCTTAGGAAGTCGCTCGTTTATTTAGTCGATCAGTGGTTTTCTGCGGTCACAGACAACACGTAAGAAAAGAATGGAGTGGCGAGCGGCATCGCTTCATAGCCAATCAAATTACGACATCGTTCGATAAGAGCGCCAAAGAACCAATCGCGACGTAAGAAGCGCGCCAAGCCACACCCTGCGTCTCTTACGCTTTCAGTGACTCTAAACATAGCCTCCTCTATAGTCACAAAGCCTGGCAGTTCGACGACGGAGCCATAGAGTGCCCGGCCGCAGATTTAGATCGCGAGGATCTGGTAGCAGAGAGCGTCAGAGAGCCATTTCTCGGGGAACCTGGACCTCAGCGCGCAGCTTTTGCAGCGGCGAGGACCCGAAACGCACTTGTTCGCTCGGGAGAAGTGTGTTTCGGCGTCTCGCCGCAGTGGGGCGCCAGTCACGTGGCTCTCCTCTCATCCGTTGTCTGCCGCTCCACCTTTTTCATTTCGGCGGCCGCTTCTCGTGGCGATCTGCCAAGCTTTGTCACTACATAGGAGACTATGCTCTAATGCAGTAGCGAAAGGATGCCCAAAACAGACAAAGATCGAAATCACAGAGCATAAAACATTTAATGAGCTTCACACCAGCGCGTTTTCTTTTCTTCATCTTTGCGACGTCTATATTTACAAGGAATTTCAACCACGTTTCTTGCTTTTATCAAACATCTGTCTTCTGTCAATCACGGCTCGTTCACGGGTGAACCAACGAATGGCGTTGTGTAGTCTCGCGTTTTCGCGAGAGTTCGCGGCGAAAAATTGCGCAATCATATGGTTTTTTTATTCTGTTTCTTTTGTCAGCGGCTTAGTGTCTTTCATTTGAATATGGTACAGGTGTCGCGGAAGCTGGCGACAAAAAAAAAGAAAAAATCATCGACTCGGTATACAATCCCTTTCAAGCACTCCTCACGATGGTTTCACGTAAAGTATACACTGTACAGACTGAGACGAAATTGCACCTTCGGATGACTTTGCTCGTTTTTGTTTCTCTTTCCCCCTCGTGAAAGTCAAAATTGTCCGTGTCAAGTTACCGTTGATAACCGTGTTGCGCAGCTCTTGGCCTTAGACGATGGGTAAAACGAAATTGTGATGGGGAGTGACAATGTTAACACTGGTGTTTATGCAGAGACGTTTTGTCTCTGACTTGATAACCAAGTTCTTTCAAATCGGAAAAAAAATGCATTTTTCTTCGGGTCATGTACTTTAATTGAAAAGTCTTGATAGAATTGTTGGTGATTAGAAGTGATTTATATAAAATTATTAAGAAAAATTAGCACGTGTTAGCGTAGGGTTAGAAAACAAACCTAGTTTTCGGGTAAGCTAAAAAAAAAAGAAAGAAACACGTCACATTTCGCGGAAAATGACTAGATGGGAAAGATGTTGGCGCAACATTTTTTTTTCTTCTGTTGATACTAGGTGGATGTGTTAAAAAGTCAAGAAAAGAAGCCACAAGAAAAGATAAAGTATGAATTACTAAATTATAAAAAATAAATGCGGTAAAATTAGCCTTCTAGAAAATTCATGGAATGACGGTGTCAGAAGAAAAGAAAATACGACAAGTTAAAATGCAATTTTTAAGGACGGAGATTTTTTTTTTTTTATGAAGCTATACAATTTGATGTATTCGGGAGAAGTACTGTTTGTGAGTCAACACTGACAATCACAATAGGAATAGAAGTTTTGGGGGATACCTTAAATCACGCTTATATTTTCGGGGTATTCATAACTGCCCGGACAAAAAAATTCCGGTTTCGCTCGTGAGTCCATGTGAGCCGAAATACGCATATCGCCGCACGAGCCAACATGAGTTAAGAGACCATGAGGCGTTAAGTAAATTTATGTGAATAACTCTAGTTAGTAGTAATATCAAAACTTTACTTTTGTTAACTTTTGTCAGTTGATGGTGATATAAACCGACTTTCCGAATTTAAATTAAAGTCACGAAGAAAATAACTGCTTCTGGTGTTCCAGTCCCCCGTGTTTGTTTTGCGAGCTGTAATACTCCATGCCAGTTATTTTAGTAAGCAGCAATGTCAAGTTCCCCAATTTGTGTTAATTCAATCATCACTATGCACAAAACTATGCATAAAGCGGATGGTTCTTTAGGATTTGTTTTGCACCAAATAACTTTCAATCACACGAAGTTGATGATCGGTTAAGTTTAAACCAGATTAAATGCACCACTTGAAAACAACGTTTAATTACGGAATTTGCATCTCTCCTTCTTCTTAGCCTTATATACTTTCTGGAATATATCAAATGACAGCTGGGCAATTGGACAGTAAACTACTTAACTCCGTTGTCTCTATCAATATGAGTTTGATATGTTTCTGACATTCATGGCCGCTGCTGCTGTTGTTGATGTGAAAACGTATTGACAACATTTATTTTAACGAAGGTACCACGCACACTTTACGTCTTCGCGCATTTCGGTTATGGTGACGTACATTTGTGACCACCTTTTCGCGCGTTAGTGACGTATAATATTTTTGTGTCTTTGTCTAGCACTTTTTTTTTATTAATTTAGTCCGTTTTAACTATATGATGTTGTTTGCAAAACGTAGCGCTTAGTATAATTATGGGCGGGGACGCGGCAAGTAAAAAAAACAAAATGAGGGATACTTGTTGTTAAAACATCCTAAAGACTTCATGTGTCTGCTGAAGAAAACCCTCAATGTCGTTTAAGATACCGACAGCTCAGTACCGTTAATTGAGTTATTTCTGTCGAACATAACAGCGTCTTGTTTGCGTGATCGGCGTTGATGGTTTCATTCCCATTATGACTATTGAAAAGCAAATACAGTCTGTTAACACCTTACTGGATTTTGTGAGTTAACTATCGTAATGATTAAAATTAGCTTTTTCAAATTAAGCAGCAGACTTTGTGCGTTCGGAGGAATGTTCAAAGCAACATGTATATAAAGTTCCAGTGGAATGTTTGTATACATGGCAACACATCTTGCGTTCTTAATTTTGGGTTTGTTTTCATTCTTTTTGGTTCGTGTCTAATATTTACTATTTTTTATACAAATCATTGCGGTTTTTAAACATTCAATTTTCGCCCATTAATAATATAGTGGTTCTAATCGTATTATTCTGTTTGAGTGCCTTTGAACACGGTCGCTGATATTATACTTTTTTTTTCGCGCTTTGCGTAATCCAGCTTTTCGAAACCGATAATTGATTCACCTCCTTTAAATGGTATTTGTTAAGTGTTGACCACTGGCCCAACACAAGAATTGCTTTTCCAGCTAGACGCCAAACGCACACAGCGTTACATACCTAAACCTGAGATTCACGCGATTCCTCGCTTTGAGAACTCAATCCCTAAACTCAATCCCTCACCTGTAAAAAAAAAAAGTTTTTTTTTATATTGGAATTTCGAACATAGTTGCACTTATGTTTTCTCACTCAATCAAACCGCTGAAACAAGTTTGACTAGACTATAGACACGTTACGAGTCGACGTGGGCCTAGCGTTGTTACGTCAGGAAGAACAGAAGAAGGACGCGGCCGCAACATTTCCAGGAGTTTCACACCGACGGTTCTCTTTCCAAAACCACGATCATTTGTCGGGTCGAAGCCCGTTCAATCCTTCAAGTTGCGGACGTGTTCTCTAGCCACTCACAGCACACGGTCCACCGGCCCGCACCCCAGACCCGAACCGCAGCGAACGCACATTGCAACGACGTCACAACTGCGAAGACCGGATGACCTTGACCGACGTCCTCCGGTCGAGGTCTTGTCGTGTGAGAGGTAGGACACGTCGAAGGCGTGCTCAGTCTTCGAGACCGGACACGACGGGACAACGTCGACACTCCGCAAACGAAGAGACGACGACGTGGAGGCTAGTGCTGCACGGCCGAGTACTTCATCCTCTTCTGCTTCTGGCGCTGATTGCAGAACCAGACGCGGACGACGTTCTTCTTGAGGTCCAGCTTCTCAGCGATGGCGGCGATCTTCTCGCCCGATGGCCTCGGCTGCACCGCGAAGTAGGCCTCGAGGGAGCGCTTCTCGGGCGCCGCGATGGACGTCCGCTTGCGCTTCTTCTCGCCGGCCGGAAGCACTCCGGGCAGGTCCGAGTCGCCGCGCTTGTTCTTGGCCTGTGCCTCGGCGGCCTCCAGCCAGGCACCCAGGATAGGCTTGAGGGCCACCATGTTGTTGTGGGACAACGTGAGGCTCTCGAAGCGGCAGATGGTGCTCTGGGACAGGGATCCGACGCCCGGGAGCTTGAGGTTGGCCAGCGCGCGGCCCACGTCGGCCTGCGTCACGCCCAGCTTGATCCGTCGCTGCTTGAACCTCTCGGCGAAGGCCTCCAGCTCCCGCGGGTCCGAGTCCGAGTCGTGGACGGCGGAGCCGCCGAAGCCGCCCATGCCGTACAAGGGGATCTGATGGGGCCCTTGGTCCGGCGGCGGTCCGTTCATAGTCAGGGGTCCCGGCAGCGAAGAAGGACAGAGCGGGTCGAGAAGATCTATACCGTCCATGGTGGAAGGGTGGTGGGCCATCTGGTGGTGAGGGGGTCCGGCACCCCGCGGGTTGGGCGGCCCGCCCGGCCCGGGGCCCGGCGGGCCCATGGCGTGGTACATCATGTCGTGCTTGATGGGCAGGGCGGCGCCCGTGGGCGGAGAGTGCTTGCTGATGTCCACCAAGGCCTCGGCGCGGCCCATCAGGCCGGCTTCGTCCAGGCCAGGGAAGAAGTTGCCCTGGTGGGAGAACAAAAAGTGTGCGGAAATTATTTGATCCATACGACACAAAAGTTCGTCAGCTACTTGCGCACCTCGGACGTCTGTTTACCCGCAAGAGGCGCTCTTTTGTTTCCCCTCAACCAATGACTGCTCGCGCCTGACAGCCTCGTCATCGCGCCGTCCATGGGCGTTTTCTATGTTTCCCTTTGATTGACGTTCCTTGCATTCCGATTTTTCAAAGCCATGTTTTGGCACACTAGCTCCCTGTATACTCCCAAACAGTTTAAAAACGGAAGGTGTGACAAGCCCCATGCCTCTTATTATTGCATCGAAGCAAACGTGTTTGCGGCATTAGCCGGTCAGAACGCCGAAGAGCGAATTACGACGCGTGGGATCATGATAAGTCGAGCCATTCCTTTCTTAGGTTGTCAGTGACAATAAATTAATACACGGCTTGTATTTCACGTCACCACACCATGCTCTGTTGTGATGGTTCTTGCCGAGATAAAGACATTCGGTGTGGGGAATTGTATGCTACGGAGGATGCACCCGCTCAAGCAGCAAGGCCACAACAATGGCCGCTCATGTGACGTCATTGCAAGCAAAGTATACGGCTGCGCAATCCGGTAAGGTTCCTGATAGATACCCGAAACCAGGGAAATTTTGCGTTTGTCCTTACTTTTGGTAGTTTTCTTCGTATTAGGTATTTATGGAAAAAAAATACTTCATGAAATTTACCTTTTTGTCATTGGATTTCAAGAATACAGAGTGAAGAGCTTACGCTTGGTATCTTATAAAAAGAGGTGTCAGTCTGCATTTATCATTGAAGACCCGTCTATTTATTCGACAACTCTCGTGTATACGCAATATTGTGTCAAGGAGGCTAAAGATTCGTTCGAGGCTAACCGGCCTAAGCGTGAACACGTCGTTTTGAGTTGGGACTGCAGGTATATAACTTTCGATTTACGTAAATTTTGAGCTAGTCTGGAGCCTAACCAGGTTGGAGGGCACCACATACATACACACATTGACGAGTATTGCGGCGGCAAAACTCATTTCTAGATTAACGTTTTATTGCAACGTCTTTTTTATGTTTAACATAAATGAAAAGAAGTAGCCCACAATGTTTTGAATCAAACATTGAATCTAAAAACATTAAGTAATAAATATAACTTCCGTGATGATTGCGAAAAAAAGTTCTGCACCGTTTTTTTACGGCCTAATATATATATATATTAATCATGTAGCGCAAGTGGTCAGTAAGAGATAGCTTCCCTGTATTATCGCGGTTTCACCTGTTTTGAAGATATATTTAGTAAATTTTGATATGTTCACCTTTTCGTTTATTAGTGACGAAGTCAGCTTTTTGAATGTACACCAAAATAATAAAATTGACACTGTATGGAGTAAATACCTAACAGGCTAAATTAAATAACATACATAAACGTCTGTCGATTTAAAATCAAATGCAATAAAAGACGCCGGGCACTACACGCATATTCGTAGCGCGTTGCGTACTGCTTAGATGAGATCGCACAGTGCTGCTTCTTATTGGAAGGGTAGGGGCAGCGCTCTTACCAGGTTCTGCATGCGATACCGGTTGTCCGGATCCTCGGGCCCCGGAGACATGTCCGCGTAGTGAAACCTGGGTGCCGCTGCTAGACAGCGCCAACGCCGATTGTGGGCTTCTGCCTCGGGCATGGCCTGCAGAAAAAAAGAAAAACATAAGGACGTAACGTTAACGGTGACACTTGGAAACATAATACAACGCTAGCCAAAGCTAATAGGAAGAACTAAAAAAAAAAAAAAACGTTCTCATCAATGCCTCTTGGTGGAAACCGACGTTGTGATAAAAGAGCTATGCGGAATGCAAGTTCGTCTGCTTCTTTTAAATGGGTTGTGGTGACGTCAGAACGACACCGAGCTCTTATTGGCTCTGTTTGAAGGATAGTGGATAAACCTCAAAACAAGCTGCCTTGAGGTCTACGCACTATCTTTCAAGAAGCAGACGAACTTGCATAGCAATACCACCTAGAAGTCAATGCCTGCGCCTGACGTCATCGTTAATTGATCCCCGACCCGCCCCGAGCTTAGACGAAACACGCCGCAAAGCTGCAGATGCGTCCGTTTTGGCGTCGTCTGCTTCTTGCGCAGGAGTTGCGGTGACGTCATAACGACGACGAGCTCTGATTGGCTTTGATCGAAAGGAGAATGGGTACACCTCAATGCTAGATGCCTCAAGGTCTACCCACTATTTTCTCAATCAGCCAATAAGAGCTCGGCGTTCTGACATCATCGCAACCTCTGTGCAAGGAGCAGACGAATTTGCACTTCGCGTAGCGTCGCGCTCGCTGTGAGAAACAGCAAGACGCGCTGTCGACGACGCAGACGCGAAATAGGCGCCACTGCGTGAATCACCCATAGTGATGACGCTTTGGGTACACGGTTCCTCGAATGCGTCTCCGACCGGTGCGTTTAGCGTCGTGTTCTGCCCCTGAACCGAAAGCGCGGGCTCGAAGTGACGAAAAATGACGTCACAAATGCCTGGGTGCCACGCTGTTAGTTGTCGCGCTCCTGGCGGTTGCTCGTTGAAACGCTGGCGAAAAGCACGAGCGAACGCGAGTGTCGCTGTGGCTGCGGCTTCCCAATAGAGAGCCTGGATTGTATGCGAGAGGACCCATCTCAAAGCACGGGGAGCGCTTGCAATTTAATAGCGGACGCCTTCTGCGGAAATGGGTCGCAAGCGCGCATTCGCTGCGTTTTCGCGTGGCGAGGGGAAAAGCAGGCGGAACGCCGAAGACGTTAGCGGACGATGAACTCTTATTTTGTGTGTGTGCGTGTGTGTGTGCGTGTGCTGTTTCTAGTATCATGCTCTGCGATTCTTAAGCCGGGGTCGCACTGCTCATACATCATACAAAAGACAGTCTGAAGACACGAATCACCGCGATATCCGTGGTTCGAATGCCACTGCGAAGTTTTCTCCATGAACTCATTGCCATGCAGCATTCTAAGCACGAATCTCGAGTTGTCTCACGTTCAAATCTGTATGCAGACTGTTTTTTGTTCGGTGTATACGCAGTGTGACGCCTGCTTTAGGCTGTCAATGAGTTCTTGAGGGCCCCTCATAAGTCGTCTAGAAGGCTGTTCGTCAAGCCTTACACGCGTTCACGAGACGCCAGATTATTGGACGTTTGTTCATATACCCTTTCATGGTCACCGCCGTGCATGTACGGCGGGGATTAAAGCTGCGCATTAGCCGACGCCACGACTGGATAAGCCGATCAAGCAGTGTTAAGAGTGCACCATCACGGCGTTCGTCCTATTTGTCCATTTTACTGTCACCGGATAACCTAAACACGCGTGGGGAATGTACCGTGATCCTGGATTATTTTTTGTGCGTGATTGATTCAGCCGTTGATAGTGAAAAGAGTCACAAAAATGGTTAGCGCCACGAGGAAGCACTTTTGGTGCTGCTTTATTTATTTATTGCACTGTAGCGTCGGCTGCGCTCGGACGTCGAGTGAAAAACAGTGAAAAAAAAATTACAGGAAGACACTTAAGACTGCTTACGTGTAAGAATGCGAAAGGCATTCCTACACGCAGCGCATTCCTACAAGCAGAGCGCCACGTATTCCTATCGCACACGGCGGTGACATCACGCTCCCTCAGTGCGCATGCGCGTGAACCCCGCCGGCTCCACGGCTTCCATGACGATGCATCTGCGTTGCTCTGCTTTTCTTTGTGTTTTATCTCAGAGGCGCGTCGCCTTTGACCTTGAGCGCCCCGCCGGCTTCCGTGACGAAACAATTTTCTGCCCAGTGGGAATTGCACTTCCGTTTCGCTGCTACAGATGGTTACAGACAACGCCGGCTTCGCTCCATAAAGCAGAGAATGATTTAAAAAAAAACGACTAGTGGAGCACGTTTTATTGGAAGAAAACTCGACCGCGAAAGAGGTAAGAGTGTCAGTATTGTAATAAAAAGAAATTCGAGAAGCGTGTTTCATTTTAATGGTGGGATGGGGATGTTATGTAAGTGAAAACGCTGGGGACACCCTCAAAGTCTACGTCAGCAGAAAAAAACTAATGCAGCATTGAAAAGTGGAAGTTTTTGCGTTTTGAAGTGTCCTGCAGTATGCGCGGCTTGTGTCGATTATGTCATTACTCGCAGCATTTCTTGGTTTTTACGCATATTTTGAGGTCCGTAGAACTTTGTACCGGAAGTTGATATTTTAACCACTACTGCCTCATCCATGCCAGAGACAACCGGGTTAGAAGCCGTACTGCACAGGCCAAATTTCTCATCTACAGTGTGGACCAGTGTAGACAAAGCTAAAAGGCATCCCGACGATTCGCTGTGTAAACAAAACAAGTTCCCCCCGCCACCCCCTCCCCCTTTTTTTTATTGATGTATTTGACGTCTATAGAATGGCCCAGGCATGCACGTGGCGTGCTCGGGCGTGCGCGCGCAAGAGCAACAACGCATTTTTAGGGAAGCTTCCGTAAAGGGGCTTTTCCTTTATGGGGGCGCTCCAGAAGGAAAGCCAGCTTTACAGAGCAGCCTCACCTCGTCCATGAGTTGGAGTTTCCGTGACGTCCACGAGTCTGCCTCTGTTTTTACCATGAATTCTCCGTTCGTTTTCTGGCCCTGCAATAAAACACAACAAACAAAAATGACTAAAAATGATCCTAAAGAGGTAACAGAAAGGACAATAACGTTTGCGTTTTGTTTTGAGGTGCTTTTGGCATTTGTATTCGGTGTTCGTGTCAGCCGCTGCTTCCCAAAGCGATGAATTTTTTATTTGTTTGAATAGATTGGTGAATTATGACAAACGGGCTGGTGATGGGAATATGGATTAACCTTCTCCACCTCGTGAAGTCACTTGCGTCACTGCGACGTGATGGCGACGTTCCGACGATCTGTTTAATGTGGATGGGTATTTCTGCCTTGGAAGGTTTGCGAAAAGAAGCTTTCTTTATAATATACGAAGCGTCAAGTACAAGTGACCGTTCGTTTGCAAGAAAAAAAAAAGAAAAAAGATATTGAGTAAGTACGGAAGGAAATTTAGAATAAAATTATCCGGGGTTTGTGAAAAATAACTCGTGTAATTTCAATCGTAATACTTGGTTCGTGTTTAAGCGTCATGAATTATTTATTCCTAGTACTTCGAAACCAAGAAAAGTATAATTATGAAAATCGTTTTCATTATTAAAGAAAAAAGAAAAACAAAACACACAGGAAAATGTAAAACGACACACTAAGGCATCACGAGACGTCATAGGAAATTGGCGTCAAGTAATAATATACGTTACAAGATGTGGTCACGTGACGTAACACCACGGTGTCAAGTCCTGGTGTCACCTGATATTCTAATGGCACATGACCTCGAGTTTCCCTCTAAATCTAGCGAAGAAATGCGCAGGCGGGCACTTTTCTTTTTTTTTTTTTTTAAGTTCGTGTAAAAGCATTTTACGCATTAATAATTTACGCCCCGCGTTTTTTGCGATGTCGTGTCATTTTGAATTTATTATTAATATTAGCGGACGTTTCCGGGTCAGACGTGGACATTAAACTTATAAGTTACTGTAAAACCCTTTATTTTCGCGGCCCCTATTTTTCGCGAATCGGTCACAGATGACATAGTCGCGACCACTAAATTTCGCGAATTCCAGACGCCTGCATTAAAAATCTTAAGGACCGATATTTTCGCGCGCCCCTAAATTTCGCGATTTCTTCAATTCGTGAAATTCGCGAAAATTTAGGGCTCGCGAACATTAAGGGTTTTACAGTATTCCAAAACTCGAAACGCCTGATCGCGACGTAATGCCACATTATGCACTGCGGGAATCGGTGAGAAGCAAAATCCATGCGCGCTCCGCTCCTGGTCACCAGGTTCCCAGAATTCAACGCGCGCGGTGACGAACTTATAAAAGTAGTCTATGAGTCGGAACCAGCGGCGCTCTATGCAAGTCTAATCCCCGTTACACGGTCACCTTTAATTGCAGTAACGATTAACCGCAGCTACCACACTAACCTAACCTTCAATGGACGCCATATTTCTTGGCGATGTTTAGAGCGCATGCTCAGGACGAGCTCACATTAATAGCCGGCAAAGAATGGCGATCTTGATTGTGCGATAGCACAAGGACGGCTGACGCTCGCATTCGGCACGCGCTCAGCAGCCGCGCACACAGCTATGGCCGCCAGTGAATACGCTTTGCAGCAGCTGTGCTTGGGCGCCGCCATTACCGACCTTCAGTTTATGTTTCCTCTTATTCTGTTTACATCACTTCATCGCTACCGCAGCAAGACTAGTTATTGCCATTTTAGATTCTACTGCGTCCTGCTCCACAGCCATAGGCTTATGTGGAAGCTCTTCAACGCCCTCTTTGGCGACTTAGTATCTCGGTAAGACAAGAGAAGGTCAGCAATGGCGGCTGTAAGCTGGCGCGCATGTAAAGTGTCTATACTCTCGGACACCTATTCCAAAGGTGGTGAAAAGTGCGCGTGCACAGCGTTGATGGGCGCTCAAGGTGCGCAAGCGCGCGTGCACCTATAGCTTTGACTACATAGCTAGACAATTCTGTCTAGGACTATAGCCTAGTAACCGCGGTATAGAGTAACTTCAGTTAAGTTTGCCAGAGTAACTGGGATATTCTACACCTTTTTCTAAATTACCAAGGCACAAAAAAACCGTGTCCGAGTGTAGTTCCTCTCGCTGCGCGTACTGCCACCTGTAGTTGTAACATTTCTAAAGAAGAAATCTATAAAAAATGACGCTTTGCAAGCGCGTTCACTGGCGCCCTATTTTGGGTATTTACTTCAAGTATGTTATATTTCTAAGGCGAGCGCGTGCAGGGCGCGTACCTACGTTCCCAGTCGTTCCCGGTATTCTTCTTGACGCTCAGCTAATTTGGCGAGAGGTCTGTTCGGAATAGGCGTCGTGCCAAATATCGCGCACCGATCCTTCCTCGTTAACTCGACTGGGGCGTGGGGGAGAGGACGACGGTGGAAAGGGGTCGAACGGCGTCAACGAGAGGAATTGTCCCCCAGCGGCACATTTCCCGAAGACGGCGGTTACACCAAGTGTTTTCCGGAGAAGCCGCTACACAGACAGAAAAGACATACATTTTTCGGCTAAGGCATTTAAGGGGACACCAGAAGCGATTGTGTCGCCGGATCCGCGTGACAAGGGATTTGCGGAAGAGAATGTCGAGGGTTTTAAAGTTTCTCACTGCCACAATGTTTTATTTGAGCCTCAGGGATGTTTGTGCTGAAGCTCTAAAGCGACAATTGGTAGCTTACAGCGCAATTATTGTCCTCTCGAGGATTTCTGAAGTTGTCGACAGTCTAATGAACGAAGTGCGGGGCTTATCATGCTCGGGCTACTTGCTTCACTATCAGATTTTCTGCGTTTTTATTGGCTAAGACGGTAATCTCATTGATTGCGGTCATTGACCCCAGCAAACTTGTTTTCTTTCAATTTGTTTGGACTAGCGCGTCGACTCGGTAAAAAACGCGTACGTCGTCAATTATATTGGGCCGTTTCAGGCTTGAACTGGTATTTTGCTAAAGCAGTAGGCTTTTACTATAAACGCTTGAAATCAAGAAAAGTTACTTAGGAGAGACAAAACAGACGTTTCCTCGTTTTACTCAAACACAAATTGGCGACGACAACATTTCTCCGCTCTAATTCACGCCCCGAGTGAGCACTTTTCTCTACAACGGTAGTCTTTTAAGACATACTTTTGATCCTAAAACAGTGGGGAAGAAGAAAAACCGGGGGTAGCTTGTTTGGGCCGACTCGGTCGCGAGACGGTCGTGTCTGTGTCTTTCCTTCAATATGAGAAACAAAAACAAAAACAAAAAACAACAGCATACTGAGCCACCGTCTTCGCCATGGATGTTCCTTCTAGGTCATGTAAAGCCATATATCTGTCCAACCATATTAAGGGATTTCTTATTTATATATAGAGTGCGGCTAAATGGAAATGGAACCTTACTGGCTGCCTCACAGTGACGACGGAATCTGTGCTAGACAAGATCTACCGTGTTTAAAGTGTCACCCACTACAGTGGCACGCTTCACGTAGATTTTGTAAAACACGATCAAACTCCGTTTTTTCTTTCCCCGTACGCTCGGAGAATGTGAGGCGAGCGAAAATAGGCGCCCAACTAAAGGACGGGGTAGAATTCACGCTTCGAGTTGTTTTTCAACGAGAGCAGCTATTGTTCGGAACAAAACGCGCGCTCGGAAATAGGTTTGCGCCGATCCTCCGACAAAGGGGAAAGGTATTATTTGCGTTTCCGGGCTTCATCGATCGCTAAACGCCCCGAGGGATGCTTATAGACCAGTTGAAGAATACTGGCGAAGTTCAGCCGGCTTTTTTGTCGTTCGTCCTATCGCCGTTCGTGTCATCTATTGGCGCATTTCGCCTGATGTTTTTGGCGTAGTTTTAAAATAGGGTGTTTTCTTAGTTTTAGGGACCTTAGCGAACTCCTCGGGCTACGAATTGTGTTTTTGTTTTGTTTACCGCGGTGATTTTGATTCTTAGTTCTCCGCCAGTCCAACAAATTTATCGTGAAATCCACCTATCATTACACTATAAAAAAGAAAAGGACTGTAAATTCACTTTCCCGCATAACACAAAACCCGTTAAGTTTCCTGCAAAATTTGGCGGAGGAATGAATGTCACATGACGTGACGTGACGAGACCTATGCAGTAGTTAAGTTTCCCCTAAAGTTAGCGGTAAAATCGATGTCATGTGACTTGTACGCGAATTTAGTTTTCCCAATAAATATGGGCAGGAAATTGATGTCACGTGATCTGACGTCACGTTACCTATCTACCAGTTCAGTTTCCCCGCTACTACTGTTTAACGTATTCTAAACCAATTGAAACGTTCGGTTCTCATCCATTTTAGAACTGTAAACATAAAGGTCGCTGTACTTTCTTTTTTTTTTCTTTTACTTCAGCTTTATTATGTGTTTACCCCGACCGCATTCTGCACCAAATCGCCCGCGAGGTTGTTTCTTTCTTCGGGAATCGCAGCGCTTGTCTAGTGTTTTTGTTGTATGTCTACTTTTTTTTTCTTTTTTTTTTTTTTTTGGGGGGGGGGGGGCATGATTCTCGTACAAGCACCTCACATCTGTGAATAAAAAATTAAAAATAGATAGACAATCGAGAAGCTTTTGGAGCATTTTGCCACGACCTCTCTGCAGAATCGCTTTTTCTCATGGCAATGCACAATAAGGAGTTTTCGCGCGTAAATTATGTGTTTCCTATCTAAATAATCGATACTTTTAAAATCGAACAGCAGTACATTTTCGGTCAAGGTGTAGATGTCTGAGAAGGCGTTACGTGTACCGTGGTCTAACAATTGTCGGCTGTGCAAGAGGCGAGAAACATTAGCACACAAGTTTATTTTCAATTTGGACGCAGTTTTTTTTTTTTTTATGAAAAGTGCGCCCGCAGTCAATTAATCAAGAATTGTTCATTAGTTCAAACACCATCTAATTTTTAACAAATTATAATGTATCGTACCGCAGTGCTTTCCAAACTTTGCTACCCTTCGTGCCGCCGAAGCTCTAAAATATGTCCTGACTATCCCCCCCTCCCCCCCTCCGACTTTTCGCTGATACAAGCT